CTGTAGGGCTGAGAGTCCTCGTGGTTGACGATGACGTCACCTGCTTGAAGATTCTCGAGCGCATGCTTCAGAGATGCCGGTATCGAGGTGAGCTTAGTGTATCTATTTGAATTTGGGGAAAAAAGTTTGAATCTTTTTTTTGGGAAATCGGGTAATTTGATGTATTAGGTTGTAAAATTAGTAAGACTCAGTTGTGTGTTAAGAGGCATGGTTGATTGTTGTGATGGAAGGGGAGAATTATTAAGAATTTAGGTTGTGTGAATGGTTAGGTCATCGCTCATCTAGTGAATTTGGGGGGAAAGTTTGGATCTTTTGACAAATTGTTTAATTCGGTTGATTAGGGTCTAAAATTTGTCGGGAGTGTTGATTAATGATTATTGTGACGAAATGGGAGAATTGGTAGGAATTTCGCCTGTGTGTGGTTAACAAAAGGTTATCCTTAGAAACAAAGTTGCTTGTATTCATGGGTTTAGAGGCTGCCCTGTTGAGGACAGAATGGGAGAATTTGTTCATGTACAGTGCAACTGAGGACACTAAATGAACAAGTTAGGACTTGGGAGAAGTCCTAAGATTATAATTAACAGGACAAAGAAGGGTGGAGGTAAGCTAAGAGAACTTGGTCAGAAGCGAATTAAGAATTAAGAAGTATGTGGTAGTAGGCGACTTCACAGACGAGATGGCCCTGAACAGAACCAAAAAGTTGGATACCGGTTGTGTTTTTGTTGTTGTTGTTCGAGACCAAGGAAAGAAGTTAGGGAATATGAACTTGTTGGCTTAGAAGTAAGATATACGAGCTCATGATCTAAACAACATTATAGATGCTGCTTGTGTGTGTAAAACAGAAATTTACGTTTTCTTTTCCAAATTAAGAGCAGCTATTTTCCAAAAGTAATCCAGTCAAAACTACTACCCATTGCGGCGTTGCCTAATGGAAGTGAGACTGAACTGCTTGGGTTGAGAATTTATTGTTTAGTAGTGATATAATCTACAACATTGTTGAAAAATCAAATGAATTTTTTATATACATCACTAATTGCAATGTGCATCACTATGTAAAATATTTTGAAGATGTCAGAATTATAATATTTAGCGATTTGGTTATTTCCTTGGCAAAGTAATGACTTGTCATTTAGGACAAATGGTATAGTAAAGAAACGGTTTGCAAAACAGTGTTGATAAGTTGTAATCAATGACATAATAATCACAACTTCTGATTTTATGCAGTTACAACTTGCTGTCAGGCTACAGTAGCTTTATCCCTTCTTAGGGAGAAACGATGTGGTTTTGATGTGGTAATAAGTGATGTTCACATGCCTGACATGGACGGCTTTAAGCTGCTTGAGCTTGTCGGCCTTGAAATGGATCTTCCAGTTATCAGTAAGTAATTTAATTTGCCAACTTTATAATTTTCTTAGATCATGATAGTAGCCAGCTTTTTGTTTAACTCACAGTGATGTCTGCTGATGGGGGAACCAACACTGTAATGAGAGGAATAAAACATGGGGCTTGTGATTATTTGATTAAGCCTGTACGCATTGAAGAGCTAAAGAATATATGGCAGCATGTCATCAGAAAAAAGCAGAATGAAACTAAGGAGTATTCAGGCAGCATGGATGACACACATCGTAATAGGCGAGTTTCAGATGATGCTGAGTATGCTTCCTCAGTGCATGATGGAGCAGATGTATCTTGGAGGTCTAACAAAAAGAAAAGGGATACCAAAGAAGATGAAAATAGTGGTGAATTGGACCATGAGGATTCTTCATCGTCAAAGAAGCCTCGTGTCGTGTGGTCGGTGGAACTCCACCAGCAATTTGTTAGTGCTGTCAGCCAACTTGGGATTGAAAGTACGAATTTATCTTCTTTCATGAGCGGGAGTGTAGTTGTTTTTCTTGTAAATAAATCTTTTTGAAGTTTGAAACTCTTTGTTTCAATATTGTTTAATTATTAATCAATGCAGAGGCTGTGCCGAAGAGAATTCTGGAACTGATGAATGTTCCTGGATTAACTAGGGAAAACGTTGCAAGCCATTTGCAGGTATTATATTCTGAGTTAATTTTGGTTCTGTTGATAACATGTAGTTATCTTTTTTATATATTTTGGGTACTTGTTGTATGTGAATTCTCTGTATGATTATGTTCAAAGTATCATCTGTTTTTAATCAACTTGTATGAATAGTTTGTCCAAATGCACGTCTGGAAAACTTGATTCCTCTTCCAAACAAGATTTGAGACTTGTGAATTTGTGTTCATTTTCTACCTAAAGAACTAGCTGAGATTCATTCAATTAAAAAATGTTATTTATGACAGTGATTGCTGGCTGTAGATAGTATTGATGATGTTAAGGAACAAATTGATAAGTACTTGTTCAATATGTATTTTTATGCCATTTTTTGAAGCTCTGATGGAAATGAAGCACTTAATGCACATGCCGGAAGCCTATCATCCACTTGCATGCAAAATATGTAAATTGTTTTGTTTAATCACAACCTTACTTATTTCTCATTAACGAACAATATGAACTAGTTCTGATATTCATTTACATGAGCATGGGAATTGTAAATCACTAAAGCATGCAACTTATAATATCCGCTAACTGTATGTTGCCTTTCCTATTTCATACTGTTGCACTCATTGCTAAAATTTTATCTATATTTAAATTTTATGCTCAGACTTTGATGTTTCAGCACGATGGTGTGCAGAAATTCAGACTATACTTAAAGAGAATAAGTGGTGTAGCTCAACACCAGAATGGATTTCCTAATTCTCTATGTGGTCCTATAGAGCCGAACACAAAAGTTGGCTCAATGGGAAGACTCGATTTCCAAGCTCTTGCAGCCTCAGGTCAAATCCCCTCTCAAACCCTAGCTGCCCTGCATGCTGAACTTCTAGGCCATCCTTCAAACAGCTTAGTATTGCCATCAATGAACTCGCCACTTTTACAATCAAGGCAAGAGCCCAAGAGTTATTAACGTACAACCATCGTGTATGATTGCTCCCTCTCGATCACCAACTTGTTTAAATGTTGGACAGACCTCTTTACCTCTGAATCCAAGTTCCATAACCGTTCCATCTCAATTGTCAAACAGCTGTCAGTCTGGGAATAGTTTTGTCGCCATCAAATCAAGTTCCGGCTTCAACAGTAGTAACATAGCTCTTGATTACGGACTGCTATCAAACAGTGATCCATTGTGTGTAGCGCAAACTTCAGATGGAGACATCACAAATATCAGGATGTTAAATGGGTCTCCAGGGTCAATTTCATCAGCTTCATCTTGTTCAGCTCCTACAAATGGCGACACTTTTTGGCGAATTCCGAACTCAAATGCTAATGTTAGTCATGCAACTGGAGTGCCTGTGAATTTACCAAATTTGTGTTCTCAGAGCTCTGAGCTGAAGACAGGGAGACCATCTGAACAAGGGCAATTAAGGAATCTTGGCTTTGTTGGTAAAGGTATGTGCATACCCAGCCGATTTGTGGTGGATGAAATTGAGTCTCCTGCCAGTTATCAGTGTGTTAGGAATACATGTATTGGTGATGATGGAGCTAGAGTGAAGCAAGAGCTTCATTCGGATTTCGCGGATAGTTCTCAAATTGGGACTCCGAGTCTTCCACATTTTTCTTCAAGTAGCTTCACCGGTGTTCTTTCCAAGTAGGTAATGCAATACCTTCAATTTGTATGTATTTTGACTATTTTCCTTTAAAAGAAAATTTACTTTTCGAGGTCTTTTACTATCTCAACAGTCATGCATGTGGATTTCTTCATGCACAATTATATTGTTAATTAAGGGGTATTTGCACTCGGGTACCTTAGAGTATACCCATATTTAACTTTGATACCCCGAAGGTCCTAAAGTTTCGCTGTCATTTTACTTTACTACCCTTTATCAGCCATTTAACGTAAAGTTAATGGAGATGTTCTAAAAAGGCAGATAATATAGTCACTCTCTCTCAAGCCATTCAGAAATCCAGATAATTTGTTCCCCTGCTTATCACCTGTTCATTTTTCCCACTCGAGAAGCTTGATTGATTATATGATGTGAACTTCTTGAAATTGACATCTCTTTTCAATGCAAAATTTAAAAAAGAAAACATCTATTATACAAGAACGTCAACATAGAAAAGTGTAGGAGAAACAAATTTCTTAGCAAATAATTCATTTTGAGCTTCGTGCGACTGAGGAACAATATGAGGATTTTTTGTAGGATTGAGATTCTAATAAATAACATGAGACAAAGAAATGGGGTAAGAGGAGAATCATTTTTCATGATAGGAGTAATATTTTCGTAAATGTATCACTAAAGTTATACGACAGTGTGTTGAGACATCAAAGTGTCAAATAAAACTTCAGGGTATTGAAGTTAAGATGGGATTAAGCTTTAGGGGTGTAGAAGTGCAAATAACGCTTAATTACATGATGTTAGTTTCTCCCTTTATTCAACTTTGGATTGCATTTTCCTGTTTCTATAGTAAAATGGATTTGTCATAAAGATTTTTTTTTATCGTTATTTGACTTCATAATTGAAAATATATCACAAATCAAATCCCGTGGAGGTGACGACTTGCCAAGACAAATTATTTGAACTGAAGACAATTTTATCAAACAATAGTGATATGACAAACCTCTTATTTCTAACTTTTAGGATTGAGTTGGATCCTTGTCTTTGCTTCAGCTCTTTTATGCGCCATACCGTGGATGAATTTAACAAGTGTGATATCCTTCCTAGTTTTTTATTGCTGCCATCCATTTTTATCTAACTGATAACACTTTATTTCCAGGGACAGGTTGGAAGGGTGCATTACAAAATACTAGGGTTTCGTGGAGTAGATACTTTTGGTCGAAGGACATCCTTGTAAAAGTTGGTACTGTTCGTTTGTTGTTTCACTTTGTTGTAGAGTGAGATTGGAGAGTGGATTTAAAAAGTCCATGCTCCTGAAAGAAGCAGATATGGTAAAAACTTATTCAAGTTGGTAGAATAAGTGCATACCATTACCTTGTCAATTATGCTTCAATACGTATGTATAATTTATCGCGAGCAAGCTGGAATCTTGTAAAAAATAGACTAAAATTGTGATGTATATATATGTAATCTGGTTGACGAAATCCATTATACTGCTTATATTAGCCAAGTTCTTGTATGTTTCTTATGCATCAATAGTAGGTGGTAGATGATCTATAAATGTTCACTAAGACCAGTCCATATTCACTATTGTTTTATTTCTCCTTCGTTCAAGATGTGGGATGCAGCGAGCATCCATTTAATGTCTCTGCTTCTGTTCGCGGTCAAAATTTTATTATCATTTCAGGCTCCTCACTTGTGGCTTGTAGATCCAAGATACCGTAACGTGTTACGTGTATGTATTCTTAACCAAAATGCTATAAAGATATATAAGAATGAAATAGCAAAAATGTTGGTCAGAATTTTAGAATATAGCCTTCTTTGTGTTTTGGTAAAAACAAGCCATAATGTACTAACTTCATTTAAAAAAAAACACTCTTCAGCAATATCGACCACTGATTAAGGTAGGATGGTCCAAAATCTGAGCTGTCATTATTAATTGACATCGGTAAACAATGATTTTATCATATATAACCACCAAGTCTCACTTGTTGTACTCCTATTTTATTTATAAGAACATTGCTAATATATGTTTTTTTTTCTTTGTGCCTGACAATATAGACTGATACATGGAAGCGCACATAACTGTTAGCATTCTCACTTGAGCGTAGGTCCTCCATACGCCTTTCACACTGCAGCTCCTGACGAAATCCAATCTGAGGAGATGTTATAGAGACTCGTGTCCTTCATATTTTGGACCATGAACTGATTCCATCTGTAAAATATTTTTATAAGTAATATTAAGGGGTGGCGATAATGGAGAAGGCCGAGGAACCAAACCTTTTATTATTGAGAAACATTCGAGTAAATTGCAATCTATTCCTTCAGTAGCATTTATTATCCCTCAACTGTTTTATCAGCACTTACCATCCTCAGAGTGGCATTTTGAATTTACAGGTAACCACCTTTCCCTCATGAACGAAGGGTTAATAAGTGTCATGAAGCTAACATTCATAAGTGTCATGAAGCTTAGGTAATCAAACAAGACTTAATTGTGCAAAGTATGCTTCTAGGAAATCAAATTTGAAGAGTATGGCATTACTTATCTTTTCGGGGAAATCACAGTCTGTGCAAGGAGAGGATCAAATTATCTGAGGAGACTTATGATAGCGGTTTATGCTTTCCCTGTCAAAAAACTGCAGAGAGCCTTCAGAGGTGATCAATATTCCTCACGCTGCTCGTATTGAAGTTGGTATGTTATACACTATAATTATATCATGGTATATAAGTATTAGTACCAGCATTTGTAGCCTTACTAATAATGCTTATTTGTATGTGTTGTTTAAAGAAGTATGTACTTGGACTTGCAGAAGATGAAATCATGGTCTGTTGATACCGCACATTTCTTCTTGAAAACCTGCAAGTAAGAGCCACATATATTTAGGATTTGTTGTGTTTATATCGTTTTTGTTAAGTTAAATATTGGGTATTGGGTTAATGGGCTATTACCCGTTAACCTTAACCCTATTTGTATGGCTATATATCTCTCTCTTGTTATTCTCAATAAACTATTAGGGTTTTTTCTATTCTCTACATGGTATCAGAGCATGAAACCCTAGCCGTCACAAATCTTCATTCAAAAACCCTAGCCGCCGCCCGCTGCTACAGTACCACCGCCGCTGCTACAGTACCACCGCCCGCTGCTACAGTACCACCACCCGTTGCTACAGTACCGCCGTTGCTACAGTGCCCCCTACATCGTGTTGCTTATTCCCTCGACATCTCAGTCTTCGAACTGATGAGAGGACGATTGTATCCCTCAACATTTCAGTCATAGAACTGATAAGAGGAAGCCTCGACATTTCAGTCATAGAACTGATGAGAGGAAGAGTGTCTATCTCACGTTGTTGAGATATTTCACTTTTATTCTTGTTTCCTTCGAGAAACAAGAATATAGAAATTGAGCCTTTGTGCAAACAAAAGCCAGGGCTCTCTCCCTCAGGTGATCTCGCCTACGCAGCGTGAGGGCATGACTATCTACCACTCTGCCTCTAATCCTGCTCCTGATCTGCTCTTAGTTTATGTTTCGAAAACGGATCTCTACTACTAATCTGCCTATTTGACTACTATTTGTCTCCTATTGTTGCTCAAAAATAAAAATGACTACTACTTCGATGTCGGACATCTCCTCCTCTACTACTCCTTCTATTGTTGCTGGTGAGACCTCTGCGCCCAAGGTAGTCTTGGGGACTAATATTAAATTGAATGGTGCAAGCTATCTGCTCTGGGCATAAGCTTTCCGCATCTTCATTGGCGCTCAGAGCAAACTACCACATCTTCTTGCATCTCCACCACCAACCTCAGATCCTACCTACAATTCATGGCTCTCATCTGATTATTATGTTATGACTTGGCTTCTCAACAGTATGGAAACACAGATCAGTAGCAGCGTTATGTTTTTAACCACTGCGAAGGAGATGTGGGACAACCTAAAGATTATGTACGGGAACGAGAAGAATGTTTCTCGTGTATTTGAAATTTATGGACGACTGTTTGCGCTCAAACAAGGAGATAAGTCAGTTCCGGAATTCTTTGGTGAATTGAAGAGACTGATAGATGAACTAGAGATGCATCAGCCTGCAGTAGCTGATGCAGCGACGCTATTAGGGTATCGTCGTGATCTGGCAGAATCCAAATTTCTTTCTGGGTTGAACCCTAATTTACAGTCCCAGGTGAGAGGACAGATATTGGGTGGAGATACAATTCCCTCACTGACTGCTACATTCTTCAGAGTCATGCAGGTCTCTACTGGTGTTACTTCTGATACTACTACACCATCTCCACCTACGATGGATCAGTCTGCCATGTTCTCTAATCGAGGCAAAGGCCGCGGTCGTGGTCGTGGCCGTGATTCAGGGGGAGGACGTGGTTCCTTTGGTGGGAGGCAAGGTGAATCTGATAAGGGCTCACGACAGTGTGGTCATTGTGGGAGAACCAATCATATTTCTGAGAAGTGCTGGGAGAAGTTTGGTCGTCCTCAGTGGGCCCATGTAGCTGATACAGAGTCGACTAACTCATCTATTTCTGCTACTACTTTTGGTGGTCCAGCTGTTACTGCTCCTACTATTCAAATTTCTCAGGCAGATTATGAGAGGTTGCGCCAGCTAGAACTCTCTCAGAATATTCATTCTGCTACTTATGCATCATCTTCAGGTATGGATGCTTACATAGCTTCTTCTCACAAACCCTGGGTACTAGATTCTGGAGCCTCATCTCATATGACAGGTATAAAGGATCACTTTGTATCTTTACATCTTTCTGATAAGTTTCCTTCTATCTGCATTGCTGATGGTACTCTTTCTCCAGTTCGTGGTGATGGAGTAGTTCATGCTACTTCCTCTTTAAAACTAACTGATGTGTTATATGTTCCCAAATTCCCTGTTAGCCTATTATCCATTAGCAAGTTTACAAAACAAAATAATTGTAAAGTCACATTCTTTCCATCTTATTGTGTTTTCCAGGACCTAGCAACTGGGATGAAGATTGGTTCGGGGCATGAGAGAGGAGGTATTGATAATCACATTTTATCACAATTTTATACCATCATTATCTATTTTATATGAATAAATATAGCACTAATAATTGCTTTTATCTTTAATTGCAGGTTAATAAAGAAAAAATCCCAAAAATCCCATCTCTCAACAAAGACCCTTGAGTAAATGAAAAAAAATAAGAGAATTAATTTTTGAAAATCACATGTGTGCAAGGAACCGGATTTGGACTTGGTTGCTTAAAAATGAATTGGACTTTTATGCGAAAATCACTAGCTGCTGCAGTGGACCGGAACCAAGGGTTATAACATGAAATGGACCGGACATATGGACTTGAGGTGGAGTTGCTGTAACTTGGATTTTCACAAGAAATAAATGTATGGGCCAAACATTGATGGATGCAGACATGAACCGGACTTGGTTTCTTTTGAAATCAATTTTGATGCTGCAGCTTTGAATTCATGCTTGTAGCTTTGAATGGGCCGGTCTTGTCTTGGGTGCTTTTTTCCTTTGAATCAAATGAATCTTCATTAATTGGGCCGAAAACCAATAAGCTCCAATGGTGGGTGCTTTTTTCCTTTGAATCAAATGAATCTTCATTAATTGGGCCGAAAACCAATAAGCTCCAATGGGCCAAAATTTGCTGCTGATTTTTTTCTCAAAGACTTGGACTGCTGGCTTGGGCTGAATGAGTTGTGGGCCAAAAATCAATTTGGATTTTCATGTGAATGGGCCAAACTTTATCAATTGATGGTCTGCAGAAAATTAAATTCGAAATTCAAATCATATGGGCTAGAGAAGAACAAAAAGCAAACTCTTCACTAACAAATTCAAAGGTGGAGATTGTTACTTGGGGCTCAAGACAAATCCAATGACTCATATTCATTGAAGATTACTATAAATAGGGGTAGAGAGTGAGAGGTTAAAGGTGAAAAATTTTGTAAACTCCTTTTGGAGAGGAGGGCTACTCTTAATTGAGAAGGCCTTCCAAAAATTATAACTTTAGTTGCAATTAATAATAATAATTTTTCTCCTCTTTAAATTTGTTCCTTCTCCTCTTTGTTGAATGATGAGGATGGAGATGAAGAGCAAATTGAAGGTTTGCATTTTTTTTCTCTTTTATTTCCTTTTAGTAATTTCTTTATTATTGCTTATTAGTTAGATTTAAATTCATGCTTGTAGTGTAGATTTATTTTCTTGTATTTTTTATTTCTTTTTGTACTTTAATTTGTAGAGTAGATTTATTTTTCTTGTATTTAATTTCTGTAATTTATTTTGTAGTTTAAATTTTTATTTTTCTTTGTAATTAGATTTATTTCTTGTTTATAGTTTAGATTTTTTTTCTTTTTATTTTTGTAATTAGTTCTTTTTCTTGTTTTTATTTCTTAAAGATGTGAATTTAATTCTTGTAGGAAGTTTAGAATTATATGAAACTAGTCTAATTTCCTTTATATTGTATGAATTATTCTCTTGCACTTAAAATGTTCATGTTTAGGATAATCAACTAGAGAACTAATCGGTAGAAGAAGAATTTGATAATCTATGCTTATCTTAAATGGTTTGATAGGTTATGCTTATGAATTCTAGGATTATTATCATGTTGTTGTTCTTTTCATGAATAGTAATTTTGACTTAGATGATAATTTGATAGGTTACACTTTCCTTAAATGGTTTGATAATCTATGCTTAATAAATCTAAGTTAAAATATAATAAAAAGAGAATAGTTTATATTTTGTAATTAAAATTTGTTAGTGGATTATATTCTAGATTTCTTACCTCTTGTGAATCCTCCATCTTAACTTTCTTAAATTTTTTTTTCATTCTTGGTTTATTTCTTGATTTTATTCATTCTTCTTTCTTGTCTTGTGATTCCATTTCTTCTTTGATTCTTTCTTCTCTAAAATTCAATTTATTATCTCTTGCACATAAATCAAAACAACCACTCATCACAATCACACTTATTCTTTATTCCTAATTGTCATGCACAAAACATAAGAACCATTTCTAATAATCTCTTAAAATCACCTTCCTCGTGGGATCGATATTTTTTATACTATAACTTGATCAATTGTGCACTTGTAATTTTGGTACATAATTATGCCGCATCAAGTTTTTGGCGCCGTTACCGGGGAAGGTGCTAAAATAGGATTTTATTAATTTGATTCTTTAACTTGTGTATTTTTCTTGTGAAGGAACCGCTTGGAGCTTAAAAATTTTGGATTGAAGATCAAGAATTTGGAGCATTGCTTTCGGGTAAGTCTTCTTTCTAGTTTTCAATTCCACCCTCTTTAGCTAGCTTCACAATTAGAGACAATTAGGAGTTAAAAAACAGATTTTATTTTTGTTGACCATAATAAAATTCATCTTTCACTTGGACATTAACTAACAAGATAATAAATTCAAACATGAGTCATCTTCTCACATTTGATTGTTGTTGACCATAATTAAAAAATATAAAGATTTTCTTTTTATCATCCTTTTTAGTCGCTTTTAATTTCTAGGGTTGCATTTCATATAGTGTAGGAATTCACCAAAGTGATTGTTGCACTTGATTTGGCACACACTTAAAACATTCTTAAGGGCAAAACCCCAATCAAGATAAGGTAAGGGATTTCATCACCATTTCCTTAGCCCACAAATCACTAATTCCTCACTTCACAAACTCAAGCCTTCTAAAACTCATTAGACATTGGCCCATAAGGATTCGAGCTCAATAAGGAACAAGAAATCTTTAAGTGAACGGTTTAAGTTTTCTCAGAATAGTTGGTGTCTAAGGCAATGTTTAGGGGTTGCGTAAAGCGCTCCGCAAGGAAAGATGTACTTAATTAATCTTTGATCACCCTCTAGTACTATCCTTACCTGGCTAACTACCTGGGTAAAACTTTGATCTTTTCACTGTAGGAGTTTTTGGTTAGGAGCTGGTCTAGTTGAGTTAGGCTAAACCCTAGAGTTAGAGTTGATTGAAAAGTGATTGCCTTGATTTATTTTAGTTAAGATTTTTCTTTTTCTTTATCTTCTCATATAAAAAAACTAATTTTCTTTCTTTCTTTCCTTTAAAAAAAAAGAATTTTTTTTGTTTTGGTGTATGCAAATTTGGGTTCGGGATAATTTTCATCGCTTAATCCGTATTGAATCAATCCAAGAAATGGCAAATCAACCAGTTCTTCAGGATATGTGTTACCCCACCAGAAATGCAATTCCATCTTGCATAAGACTCCCCGAAGTAAATGGAGCAAATTTCGAGCTTAGACCGCATTTCATTAACATGCTTCCCAAATTCCTAGGTAATGAAACAGAAGATGCATATATATTTATCTCGGAATTTGAGGAAGTATGTATTATGATTAAAATGAGGGAATTAACTGAAGATGCGATTAAGCTTAGATTTATTCCATTTGCTCTTAAGGACAGCTAAAAAATGGTTGTACAACTTACCGACAAATTCCATCTCAAATTGGGAGGAATTTTTCACCGTTTTTCTTAAGAAATTTTTCCCTATTCACAAAATGGTAAAGCTTAGGAACAACATTCAAAATTTCAAAATTGTCCCGGGAGAGTCATTCTGGAAATATTTTGACCGATTTAAATATCTTTTAATCCAATATCCTCATCACGGTCTAGAAAAATGGCGACTGTGCCAAGTCATATATGAAGGATTGGACTATTCTTCCAAAACATCTTTAGAATCGATGTGTCAGAGAGATTTTATGAGGAAAAACGCAGATGAAGCTTGAGAATTTCTAGAGAGTTTATCCGAGAAAACAATGCAGTGGGAAAACTATGATGACAGGGTTTCATCTGTTCCCCAATCTAAGTCTAGTGGTTTTTCTTTCGAGTCAAATATTGCTTCTGAAGCAAAGATGACGACGATTATGCGGAGGTTAGAAGCCTTAGAAGTTAAGGAACGAGCTTCGGCTCAAATTAATCATATTTCTACCCCGGGATGTCATAAATGTCAGTCTCCTACCCACGTTTCAGAGGAATGCCCTCTTCTAGGAAACAACCACGCTTTAGAACAGATGAACGCTGCATTCCAGCGTCCCAGAAATGATCCATTTTCTCCAACCTACAATCCAGGTTGGAGAAATCATCCTAACTTTGCTTGGAACCAAGGAAACTCTCCCGGAAATCAAAACTTCATTCCCACGTCAAACCCGCAATTCCCGAGGGGAAACGCTGTCCCGTTCAATGCACCCAACAATTTTTCTAACCCACATTTTCCAAACCAACATCCTCATCATCAACAGCCTACAAATTCCGATCATGACAAATGTTTGAGTGTCTTAGAAAAGGGTTTAGAAGCTATGATCAAAGCTTCTACACAAACTACCAATATGTTGACCCAATCATCCACCACTCTAAATTCATTCATGCAAACCACCGGCCAAGTGCTCAACTCGAACACACAAGCCATAGCCCGGTTAGAAACCCAACTTGGGCAATTAGCCGTTGCCGTGAGTGAGAGAGCAAAAGAAAAATTTCCAAGTCAATATATTGCAAACCCTAAAGACACTGGATCCAGTTCCAACAATCCAGCTCAACTGAATGCAATTCACACTCTGATATCAGGAAAACAAATAGACAATCATGTTAGAATGCCACCGGATCAAACCCCTTCTCCCATTCAAAACACTCCTTCCGATGAAACAATTCCTTCCGATGACCAAAACGCTGAGTTGCCCCCTTTCCAGATAGACTCAAACCTAGGAAAAACTCCCCGCAGGTTGAGAAAATCCTAGAAACATTTAAACAGGTCAAGATCAACATCCCTCTCCTAGATGCAATCGAACAAATCCCCTCTTATGCAAAGTTCTTGAAGGACTTATGCACTAAGAAAAGAACCACCAACGTCCCCAAGAAAGTCTTCTTAGCTGCCAACCTCAGTGAAATTTTTTTAAAGCCCATGCTGTTGAAATACAAGGACCCTGGTTGTCCTACAATTCCATGGGTCATAGGTAACACTCACATTGATAAGGCACTTCTAGACTTGGGAGCCAGCGTCAACCTCCTTCCTT